AGGCTCCCAGCTCCGAGGCGAGGACACGGGAGCTGTCGGGGCAGCGAGGTCTCGGCTTGGGTAGGGTGCTCGGTACCAGCCGCGGGGGCACCAGGCGGGGGGCTTTCAGGATGCACTTTGCACTGGGCCACCCCCGCCCCCTCCCTCCAGCACTTTGGGGTCACTGGGATGGGACCAAGCCTTCAGCAGCCAATCAGCGGCCGCCCTGGAGCCAGAGCCCGGAGCCGTAAACCAAGTCCGGGGTGGGTGGGGCTGGCGGGAGGAGGCGACTTGATTGGCTGGTCGCTTCCTCCTCTCCTCCTCATCCCTAGCGGCACCACCCCTTCGCCTGCCGTAAAGCCGACTGCGCATTCGCGACAGTTGGGGGAGGCGTGGCCATCGAAGCTGGGACTCGTCTGTGATTGGCTGCACTCACTCACCCTCCTCTAGGCTTCCCCGCTGTGGCTTCCAAAGCCCGCCCCTAGCGGAGGGACTCGAAGCGGTTGCTAGGAGACACTGCACGCCGAATAGCGCTTCTACGCATGCGGGAGGCGGGGCCCGCTCGGACGGTCTGTGCATTACGGTGGCCCGGAGGGGGCCGGCGGGCGCTGGCATGGCGGAGGCGGAGGATCCCTGACAGGTAAACTGAGCTCGGCGGCGGGGGAGCCGTGTGTGCGGCCGACCGAGAGGCTGGCCCGAGGGTTGAAGGTTGGGGAGGCGGGAGTCCCAGGGGCGCCTTGTCCCACCGCCGCAGTGCCGGGTCCTGGGCTGGTCTCCATCCCTTGGGCCGCGGTAGCTGGAGGCTGAGCAGACCTCGCCCTGCGCGGAAGACGGGACCTGTCTTTGTAATGATGGTGATGCTTCAAGGGCTCCCCCCCCCCCCCCCCCCCGGTCCTGTGAAGGAAGGGGGAAAGGGAGTAGAAAACGTGTGATGGACGCGTTTGCAAGCATGCATTCATTTAGCAGGTGGCCGGGCACCGTCCTAGGCGTTAGAGAAACAATTGTGAACAACCTAGTTGTGTTCGCTTGACCCTTGGAGTTTGCACTTTATTTTTCTGTGAATTCTCACAGAAGGATATTTTTTTTTCTTTCCATTGATTTAGAGAGAGTGACATGGATGTGAGAGAGACACATCAAATGGTCACCTCCCTTATGCGCCCCCCCCCCCCCCGGCCAATAGAGCCCGTAACCCAGGTGCAAGCCCTGGGCCGGAATCGAACCCGGGACCCTTTGGTCCGAAGGCCGGCGCTCTAGCCACTGAGCCAAACCGGCCAGGCCGAGTGTTGGGAGGTTTTTTGATCACCAGTTCCATCTTCTCTAAGTAGTAATCTGTTCAGATTTTCTATTTCTTCATGTTTCAGTCTTGGTAGGTTATGTGTTTCCAGGATTTTGTTTCTTCTAGGTGGTCCAGTTTGTTGCATAGAAATGTATATTCAAGCTTTTAAAACGAAAGGAAAGGCGGGAGAGCTTTCTAGGCAGAGGGAACAGCGTGTTAGCAAGAGTCAGAGTCAGGAGGGAACCGTTCACGTGGACTATTCGGTAAAGGAGGATCGGCTTCCTCCTACTTGAGCTGCATAAATGTTTTCACCGTAGAGGCCCTGTCGTTCCTCAAATCCCCGAGCGTGTGGTACTCTGCTGCGGTGGGGTAGGTAACCTTGTTTTTTCAATAATTGAAAATCAAATCTTGGCCCAGCTGGTGTGGCTCAGTGGTTGAGCTTCGACCTATGAGCCAGGAGGTCTCGGTTCGATTTCTGGTCAAGGGCACATGCCCGGGTTTCGGGCTCCATCCCCAGTGGGGGGCATGCAGGAGGCAGCCGATGCATGATTCTCTCTCATCGTTAATGTTTCTCTCTCTCTCTCTCCCGCTCCCTTCCTCTCTGAAATGAATAAAAAAATATTTTAAAAAAATCAAATCTTACTGTGTGCACAGAATTTAGAATTCAGTTCAGTAAAATCTGGGTAGTGCTGCTGGCAGGGGTGGGAGGAGGCAGGAAAGGGGAATGAATGAGGAAACCTTCCATTCTGAAGCAGCACTTAAAACGTAGAACCCTATTTTACCAACTAAGGGTAGAAAAGTCTTCTTTCTAGACGTTTTCCATTAAAACACAAAACAAAACTGTAGCATTGCCATGATATAATATCAGCCTCATGTGGTCAGATTCCTTATCAGTAAAATCAAGTAGATTGGTCAATGCTCATTGAAATTTAGTCCCCCGTCCAGTTCTTGGCACCCCCTCACCCCCCACTCACTGAATCAGATCTGCCTTAACCACATCATTTGAAGTCTTTTATCTATGACTTAATTATCAGGCTAAAAAAAAAAATGACCTGTAGCAGAGTTCTACAGAGGAGAGTTTATAATAAGTGGGCAATTTACAAAAGCGCGGCAGGTATTAAATATTCTCAGTGCTTCAATGGGAACCTGGAAACGTGTTAGAAATAAAAATGATTGGGCCCCATCCCGGAACTACTGTGTCTGAAACCCCTGGGGGAAGGCCCGCCCCCCCTCCCCTTCCTAGGGATTCTGAGGCCCCTGAAACTTGAGCTCCATTGTTTTAAGAAAATGAGCCCCTGGGGTTAGGAACAGCTGGCACCTGCACCTGCTCTAGGCCCCCCAAGGTAAGTAGAAGGAGCAGTTCCGGAAACTTGAAAGGGTTGCCTTCCTTTCTCCCTCTCCCTCCCCCCCTCCCCCATCTCCTGTTGGAGCCTGTTGGGGCGGGGAGAAAGGTGAGAGTATAACCAGCAGGGCACAGGGAAGGTACCCAGCACTGCCCATGCTGTTGGGAAGCGATCCTTCCCCCCCCACCTTTCAAAATAGGGTGGGAGGTGCTCTGGAAACCATAGTTGACCAGCTTTGATGGCCCTGGTGAACGGCCCTGGTGATCGGCCCTGGTGATTGGCCCTGGTGATCGGCAGGGATGTTGGGAACTTCTGTGCTTTGGGTGTCTAGGCCTTCTCAGTGCTTAACCGCCCTCACGAGCCTCCCCTAACCTTGGCCCTGATACCCAGACCTTCCCCACCTCCCTCAACTTTCTGTAGCGTCTAAGCAGACACATTTTATTTATTTATTTTTTAAAGTAATATTTTTGTTGATTTCAGAGAGGAAGGGGGAAAGAGAGAGAGAGAGAGAGAGAGAGAGAGAGAGAGAGAGAGAGAGAGAGAGAGAGAGAGAGAGAGAGAGAGAGAGAGAGAGAAGAAAGAGAGAAACATCAATGATGAGAGAGAATCATGAATCGGCTGCCTCCTGCACGCCCCCTACTTGGGGTCAAGCCTGCCACCCAGGCATGTGCCCTGACTGGTAATCGAACCCAGACCTCCTGGTTCATAGGTCCATGCTCAACCGCTGACCCACACCGGCCGGGCTGGAGCACTAGAATATACTTTTAAAGTGTTTTATTTTTCCTATTGTAGGTTCTATGGAAGGAACACCTTAGAGATTCGTCGCATTTCCAAGGTTCCTATTTACCATTTGGAATCGCCCCACTTCCTGTCTGGAAGACAGATGTCGGCAGTCGAAATGAAGGATATCTTGGAAGTTTTGGACCAGTTATATAAGAAGGTACTTGTGGGAGCCACACTGGAGAACGACACCCGGGATTACATCTGCTGTCTCCGCCCAGCGTTTCCAGATCACAGTGGCTCTGGGACCGCCTCCTCCCAGCGTGCAGTCACCCTCGGTGACCAGGGCCAGTGCCAGCCGTCCCCTGTCCATCCGTCCACCGTTCCTGTCGCGCCTGCACCAGGGAAGGGCAGTGCCCGAGATTTAACGCTCCTTCGGCTGACGGTGATCCAGGTGATGGTGACCAGGATACTGTCTGTGGAGACGGAGTTCCGAGCAAAGGAGAAGTACAGAGAGATCATTACAGCTCTTTTAAAATCATCGGACCTTGATTCCCAATTGGTAAGCCATTTGTTGTCTATTTTTAGAGATCTAGATTTAAAAAAAAAAAGTTTTAAAAACATTCAACAGCAGTAGGTAAACTTATTTATTTTCCCACAGATCTGCTTGTTCCAGGACTCGGATAAGTTGTTGTCTCACGTGGCTGCCAAATGCCTTGCGTGGCTTCTGTATTTCCAATTGAGGGAAAAGGTAAGTCCTCAGCCCATGTTATGATTCCTTTTCCAGGTTCTTTAAAATCGCTCTTTGGCACCCAGTTTTCCCCTTCCAGGAGTTGCATCCATAACATGATTGCTAACCTGGTAACCTGACTTGCATTAAGCATTTGGGTCTTCGATACGCGGTAGCTCATTACAAATTAGACTCTTAACCTGCAGGGGGGTTCGAGTCAGTGAGTCCAGAACTTCAGATTCTCAAAGGAGAAGGTGGGTTGCCTTCCGCCCCTCCAAGGAAGGGGTGAGGAACCCCTGCTGGAGATCAACCAAGCCCGTCCTCCACGGGTTTACTCTAACTCAGCGGTTCTCAACCTGTGGGTCGCGACCCCTTTGGGGGTCGAACGACCCTTTCACAGGGGTCGCCTAAGACCATTGGAAAACACATATATAATTACATATTGTTTTTGTGGTGACTCACTATGGTTTAATTATTTTCAATTTGTAGCAATGAAATTGGGGGTCACCACAACATGAGGAACTGTATGAAAGGGTCGCGGCCCTGAATACAAAAAGGCACACTGCTCTAAGTAAATTCTAAGGGCAGTCCCAGCAAAATGAAGAAAAGAATAAACGCATCAGATTTTTCTCTTATCTCTGAATTAGTTACCAAACAAACCTCAGCACCTACTGACTTTCAGCTGTAAATGCTTGCTCCTTTCTGAAAATGACTTTTTTTTTTTCCTGAATACAAAAAGGCAGGTATTTGCATTAGAAAATTTTGAGAAATGAGAAAAAGTATAAAGAACAAAATCAAATGTACACCTTTCACCACCTGGAGAGAACCACTGCTGATATTTTCATGTTCCCTTTTTATCCTTTATACCTATGACATACTGAATTTTTTGGCTTAAAGAATATTAGGATATTTGTATCCTATTTTTTTTCCTGTTTTGTGTGTGTGTGTGTGTGTGTGTCCTATTTTTAACAAATATTATCATACTTTCTTAAAACTTTGTTGCATAGAGTCGTATTGTGTGTAATAGGTGATTTGTAATTGTAAGGACAATATTAATATATATAAAAGCCCAATATGCAAATTTTCCCTGCGGAAGTTCAACCAAGAGACCAACTGGGAGACCGATCGCTTGCTATGACATGCACTGACCACCAGGGGGCGGCATGGAATGAAGGGAGGCCCTGGCCGCCCGGCAGCTGGAAGGCCCTCACCTGCCAGGCCTAGGGGCTCTACCCATGCATGACTTTCGTGCACCAGGCCTCTAGTTATATTATAACTTACCACTTTTTAAAATTTTCTGTCTTGTAGATAACATTAAGTAATTCCTGGATTGCTTTTTGCAAAAAAAATCTTTCTGAATACTCTGAAAGTGATAAGGTAGTATACTGCCTCTGGACTCTTACTGCTGTAATAAAAGAAATCTTTAAAGATACATGTTCACAAAAATCAGGTACGAATTATATTCCCCCGTAAATGACTGTCATTATCTTGCTCCCAAGGGGAATTACATTTATAACAAAGAGTAAAACTTATTTTACAACATCTGATCTGTTTTCACGTACGAAAAATTAAAGAATCTTGCCCCATATTTTTTGATTGAGGGTACCTTTTAAAAATATATATATTTTTATTGATTTCAGATAGGAAGGAAGAGGGAGAGAGAGAGAGAAACGTCAATGAGGAGAGAGAATCATGGATCGGCTGCCTCCTGCACGCCCCCTACTGGGGATCAGGCCTGTAACTTGGACATGTGTCTTGACTGGGAATCAAACTGTGACCTCCTGGTTCATAGGTCGATGCTCAACCACTGAGCCACACCGGCCGGAGAAGGATACCTTAAAAAAAAAAAATTAAAACTTTTTCATTGTTATTAAAAATTAAAATAGTCTGGTGCTATGGTTACTTGTAAAGTGGACTTTAACCTTAGTTATTAAAGTTAGTCTGTGTATCTTCGTTTGTTCATGGTAGAGGTCAAGCAAGCCCATTTGTTCATCGTGTAAAGTGATAACATTTCCAGAAATTGAATTGTAAAAGTGTATTTTAAGGAGGCTTTTGGCCAGGAAGGATACCTTAAAAAAATTTTTTTTAAAGCTTTTTCATTGTTATTAAAAATTAAAATGAAAAATTTTCATGATTAGGTATTCCTAGCATAGTCTGCTGCTATGGTTACTTGTAAAGTGGACGTTAACCTTAGTTACTAAGGTTAGTCTGTGCATCTTCATTCGTTCACAGTAGAGGTAATGCAGACCCATTTATTCATCGTGTAAAGTGATAACATTTCTAGAAATTGAATTGTAAAAGTGTATTTTAAGGAGGCTTTGTCTTTCCTGTTGTTCATAGTTACCTTTTTTTACACTTGCAGAACTTCTACAGCAGCTCCTGACTCCTTTGGACGCTCCCTTTGAAGTCTTTTACAACTCCTTCTTTTCTCAGCATCTTGACGGCCCCCCGGGCACCTGTCACTTAGCAAACACCTTGCTGGGCGCCCTGGAGCTGCTTGAACTCCTCATCGCTTCCAGGCCCCACCGGGACCTGCATTTCACCTGCCAGAGGATTTTATTTTTGAAACCGGCCTGTGTGCTGGACGTCATCACCTGGCCCGTGCAGGCTTTCGTCAAAAGGAAGTTCGTCATATTCCTCAAAAAGTGCCTTCTCCGGAAAGCCGGTGAAGACCTCTGTCGCGGGGCTGTCGCCGCCCTGGGGCCACCGGATCGGCATTTGGAGGGGGACATGGCGGCTTTAGCCGATGCTGTTTTGCAGGCTGTGGATTTGGGCTTATTGAGGACGTTGTCTGTCCACGGAAAGCCTTCCTGCTTTGCAGGCGGTGAGGTTCAGCCTGGATGTGAGCGGCCCCCTGGTCCAGATCACGTGATCCTTAGAGCCGCGAGCTTGCTTGTCGTTAAATCCTTAGAAATCAAGTTTCAAAAGTGTGCTTCAGCCAAGGAAATGAAAGGTAATTCTTCTGACTCCTTTTTTAAATATATATATTGATTTCAGAGAGGAAGGGAGATGAAGAGGGAGAGAGAAACATCAGTGATGAGAGAGAATCATGGATCAGATGCCTCCCGCACTCACGCCGCCTACTGGGAATGGAGCCCGCAATCCAGGCATGTGCCCCGACAGGGAATTGAACCGTGACTTCCTGGTTCATAGGTCGACTCTCAACCACTGAGCCACACCAGCTGGTCTCCTAACTCCTTTTGTATGTGAAGTAATGGGTAATTACTTACTGAAGTAAAATTATTCAGAGTTATCAAATCACAGAACTATAATTTTACTAATTTAAGCTACATGTAATCCTAGTAATAATTTATCAGATATTCTTAAAAAAAAATTAGAATTACCTTCAGGAACATCAACATTTTGTGGGCTAAGCCTAATTGTTATAATTACTAAGTTTTTTAAAAAGTAGGTGTGGTTAAGTCAGTGCAAAGAAAGTGATGTAAGTCAACTGATATATGGGTATTTGTAGCGTTTTCATATTCTCCTTTATAAAACTGACATATCTACTCATGTAGATTATTGATAATTATGAATAGAATGGAAACTAATCTGTGAAAAGTTATATTGATGAAGAAATTGTTGCATGTAATTTCCAGGATGTCGAGTCCGAAGACAGCCATGTAAAGTATGATATTCAGTGTAGGTGTTGGGAAGACATGTCCTCCTTTTCATTTGAGAAAAATGAAGAGCAAACATCTCTAAACAAGCAGTGTATAGTGTTAGTGAAAGGTTTGGCTTGTAAGCGGTGACTTCCCCGAATTGCTTTGGACATCAGCTATACTGGTATATTAGATATAATTGTGTGCAGTTATAATTTACAACACTAGGTGGCATATGTTACATAACTCAGAGTTCTAAATTGCACTTCAAATTTCCCAAACCCGTTTGAGTTTTGTGCTTAATAGTAGTACTTTCTTTTAATGCTTCAAATAACCAAAAACAAGTTTGTTATTTTGAAAGCAAAATTCGTTTTGTTTCCTTGCATTGTTGCCACTAGTAACAGCTGTGGCATTCGATGATTTCTGTTGTCTGCTGCCCGTTCATTCATTTATGTGCTTTTAGCAAGAATTCATGAACAGTCTGACTGTTCATTTTAACAGTATTCTATTGATTGGTCACTTTTCTTTTCTGAAGCTCAATTCCCTAACTTGCAGACATTTTGAGTGTGATATATCTACTAATGTAAATTATTGGTAACAATATATAAATACATATATTTAATGTCTTATTTGAAAAAAATATTTTTTATTGATTTCAGAGAGGCAGGGAGAGGGAGAGAGAGAGAAACATCGATGATAAGAGAGAATCATGGATTGGCTGCCTCTTTCCCGCCCCCTACTGGGGATTGCTGAGCCATGCCACCTGGGCCATAATGATGCCTTTTTAAAGTACTCCAGATGCTGTCATTATGTGTATACCTAGGCAAGCTGTGAATGTATTTGTGAACCGTTGCCCACACTTTGAAATGTTCATGTCTTGAAGGTGATTTGCAGAGGTACATGTCTGAGCTACTGACCTTCCTAAAGCCTCACCTCCAGCCGTCCGTGCAGGCGCACAACCCATGCGAGTGGCTGTCTAGGGTCTTCATAGAGCAAGATGATGACATGCTGGAGGCTGCCAAAGCATCCATGGGCATCTACCTCAAGCTCACCAGGTCGGTATATTGTCAACTCATTGCACTCGCTCCATGCCAGGAAAGCAGAGAACATTTCTAATACTGTGCTGGCCCTATTGTTTACTTTCCATCATTAGGAGGAAAAAAAAATCCCTAACAATCTTGTGGTTTCCTTGTGAGAGCCAGTTCCTTCCTTTAACTCTGCCCTGCATGAAAACGAGATTACATGTTAGTTCTCGTTAGAAGATGTGGTTGGCGAGGCAACCTAGGTTAGCACAGCTAGCCTGGGCTTAGCCAATGGAAGCACTGGTTTAGTCTCCATCCCTGTGCTGCCTGGGTCTAAATCTTAATCTCACTGATTTGGTTAAGAGCTCTTCCTTCGAAGCCTAACTTTTCCATATGGAGCTTCTTATAGGATGATGTTTGCCTTTGTAAAGGTGAATAGAAACTTGTAAGTCATCGAAGGAGCTGCTATTCTGAGTTTTCATGTTCTTTCTTTTTTTTTTAATATTTATTAATTGGTTGGGAAAGTTTTCATTTTTATACCCAGTTGAACTGGGGCTGATGCCATCCTGAGGAGGGCTGTGAAATGGATTATGAAGTCATGTTACTGATGACATTGTATACTGATCCTATTTCTGCTTTATTGAAACAGCTGGGCTGAGGAAATACCTTCTTGTGGCACATCTCTGTAATTGGTTAGGAAGCTAATAACTGATGACCTTGTCCACTAGTTCTGTTTCTGCTTTATTTATTTTTAAATATATATTTTTTTGTTCATTTCAGAGAGGAAGAGAGAGAGAGAGAAACACATCAATGATGAGAGAGAATCATGGATCGGCTGCCTCCTGCACACCCCTTACTGGGGATCGAGCCAACAACCCAGGCATGTGCCCTGACTGGGAATCGAACTGGCGACCCCTTGGTACATGGGTCGATGCTCAACCACTGAGCCACGCCGGCAGGTTGATTATATCTCTTCTCTGTCTCACACCTCTGAATTCATCCTTAGGCAGGGCCACTAGCAATGTCAGACTTACAGCAGCCTTCCAGTTATAAATAATCTTTAACAACTCCAGCACAAGTCGCAGGGGAGAGCGGATTGGTCAGTCTGGGTCACATGTTCACCGGGATCAGGAGAGGGTAAAGGAAGGGAGGACGATAGGGTCCAGCTCTACCTTACCCACCCTACCACATGGGATTAGGAGTTACGGGTAGGAATGAAGAAGACTGATATCAAAGGATGGAAGACGGTACTTGTTGTCGGGCAGACAAAAACTAGAACTACCAAAGTCAGTGGATTTTGTTTATTTTATTGAGTCGGGTTAATATAGAGTTTGTGGAGAAAGAGTTTGGCTTGAATTTTTTCTTTTAAAATAGTGCATGGATTACACTGTAATCTGGGAGGTGAATTATTGCATGTGAATTATACCTACCAAAACTTATTTTTGTAAAAGGTCATTAATCTGGGGGTCTCCATTATCTTTATTTTCAGAGAATATGAAGCTGCTCAAAACTTGGCCCAAGAAAAAGAAACGTGGAACCAGCACACGCATGAAAACGGCTATAACCCGCACTGCATTTTTTTATTCTTTTTAAAAAATATAGGATTTGATTCGACAGTTCTTCTCGACTTTTTGATTTCATCCGAAACCTGCTTCCTGGAATATTTTGTCCGATACTTAAAATTACTGCCCAAAGACTGGGATGCATTTTTCACCATTTGCAAGTACTTTGATGTAACTGAATGTACCGATAGCAGAAATACTTGTGGTCCCATCGCCTCACTTGTCCAAGACACAAGCAGCAACCACACAGAATCCAGGCCGCTGGCTGCCCTTGGCAGTCACAGGAGCGCGCATGCCTGTGTCTCCTGGGCGTCGGAGGCTTCCCCTGAACCACTGAACCAGGTCGTGATCTCTCGGGAGGGCCACGCCACTCCCCAGGCTGGCGGTCGGGGGTCCCCGCCAGCCGCTCGGAGCCTGGTAGATTACGACACCTCCGATGACTCCGAAGTAGAACCCCCAGACCTGTGCTCAGCAAATTGTAAGCAGACATCTGTACACCAAGAAGCCACGGAGAACATTCAGGACACAGTGGGAACAGGGAGGGGTAAGAAAGAACTGAGCTCGGAGCTTCAGTCAGGGCCTGCGGTTCCGAAAGAATCCGATGCTCCTTTCTCTGTGGATTGTGACGAAGCCCCAAGGAACGTTGTCTATGAAGTGGGAACGTCTTACCGAACAGTAAAGTGTTTCCAAGAGCTGCAAGCTGCCATTTCCCGTTTGCAGAAGAAAAACCTTTTCCCCTATAACCCGACAGCCCTTTTGAGGTTGTTAAAACAGATCGAGGCAATTTGTAATAAAAGTACGAACCCTCTGTGAAACGCTGGCATTTTATTTCCAGGAACTGTTTGTTTTGCCTGAATGAGGTGCTAGTAAAAGAGAAAACCTCCGAAGCGTTTTCTAAATGAAGGCTTTTCTTTTGGCCGATTAGAAGCAGCCTGGTGACTTACAAAGATGTAGGAAGCCCAGCCTGCTCGTGGGGACCTATGAACCAAGAGGTCACGGTTCCATTCCCAGTCAGGGCACATGCCCACCTTGCAGGCTCGATCCCCAGTAGGAGGGGGCGTGCAGGAGGCAGCGGATCAGTGATCCTCTCTCATCATTGATGTTTCTCTCGCTCTCTCCCTCTTCCTCCCTCTGGTACATGGCCATAAAGGTAGCTCTATCCTAAATGGAGAGAATGTAGATAAACATTGCCTGGTTTTGCCTTTTCTACAAATGGAACCCAGGCATATGTGTTCTTTGGTGTCTGGCTTCGTCAACATTATTTGGAAGCGTGTTCTAAATTATTTTTTTAAATAATGGTCACGTCGCTGCATTTCCGCGATTAAACCTCTCCGCATTGTCGCCTGCCCTCCCCGTGTGCTGGGATGGTGACACTGACAAACAGGCTGTTTGTCAGACTCAAACAGGTTATGCAGGGCCTTGTGCAATGGGCCCCAACCTGCTGCTCTCACCCGCGGTTCTCCCCCACCCATGTCTGAGCAGTGTCACCTTGATTTTCTTACATATATATTCCTTCATCACGCCCCATCTTCCATGTTGGATCTGGGAAACCTCCCCCATCTATTTTTTTAATTCTCACCCGAGGATATTTTTCCGTTGATTTTTAGAAAGAGTGGAAGAGAGGGGGAGAGGCAGAGAGAGAAACATCGATGTGTGAGAGAGAGAGAGAGACACACACACATCGACTGGTTGCCTCCTGCACTCGCACTGACCAAGGTCAGGGATTGAGCCTGCGACTGAGGTATATGCCCTTGGCTGGAATCGAACCCGGGATCCTTCAGTCCGTGGGCCAGTGCTCTATCCACTGAGCCAAACCGACTGTGGCCTCCCCCGTCTGTTTTGAACCATTAAATCGTACTCACTGTGTGCTCTTTCCTGTATTGTAGCATTTGACACATCATTCGACATTATATTTTAGTCATGCGTGAACAGTCTGTTTGCCAAGCTCTTTCCTTTGTCCCTAGTGAATAGCCTCCTGTCAGTCCCATTCTGAGCACATGACAGATGCTGAGTAAATGAGAAGGGCTCCCTCTCTAAGGATTTATTTATTTTTAATCCTCACCCAAGGATATTTTCACACACAGTGGAGAGAGAGAGAGAAACATCGATGTGAGAGAGATACGTGGATTGGTTGCCTCCAGCACACGCCCCGACCAGGGCCTGGACCGGGGATGGAGCCTGCTACCAAGGCATGTGCCCCCAACCGGAATTAAACCTGGAACCCTTCAGTCCATGGGCTGGTGCTCTATCCACTGACCCACACCAGCCAAGGCTGAGAGCAATTTTTTAAAAAAATACATTTTATTGATTTTTTACAGAGGAAGGGAGAGGGAGAGGGATACAGAGTTAGAAACATCGATGAGAGAGAAGCATCGATCAGCTGCCTCCTGCACGCCCCCTACTGGGGATGTGCCCGCAACCCAGGTACATGCCCTTGACCGGAATCGAACCTGGGACCCTTCAGTCCGCAGGCCAACACTCTATCCGCTGAGCCAAACTGGCCAGGGCAACTGAGAGCAATTTTAGTTGGACCCACAGGGGTGGAGAGAAAGCACAGAAAGGCAGTGGTTTTCAACTTCTGTCTGTTCTCTGGGAATTTTTGAGTGACAGAGAGGCTGAAAACCACAACATCACTGAAGGCCACGGCCAGGTCGTCCAGGTCACCGGGCCTCAGGCTCTGCCTGTCCGACTCCTCCCACCTCTTCTGGGAGCACACGGGGGCTGCAGTCACCAGGCTTGAGCTGCCAAGGTGTTTGGAAACTTGACCTAAATACTGACCTTTTAATTGGTCTCGTCCTTTATGTAAGATGGTGATGCTTTATTTGAATGCCCTCTCAGACACTGTGGTTGATGAAATGCCTTCCTGACTGTTACCACAGGTCAGACTAGCAAACCACTTCTAACTTTTTCTGATCATTCTGAAGAAGGTAGAGCTCAGCAAAGCCATAGAAGCCTTTACACGGTGTATTCCCTCCTAATTACAGAGCTCACTAGTATATATATATATTTAAAATACATTTTTATTGATTTCAGAGAGGAAGGGAGAGGGAGAGAGAAACATCAATGATGAGAGAGGATCATGGATCGGCTGCCTCCTGCATGCCCCCTACTGGGGATCGAGCCCGCCACCCGGGCACGTGCCCTGACCAGGAATCAAACCGTGACCTCCTGGTTCATAAGTCCTTGTTTAACCACGGAGCCACACTGGCCGGGCTGTACTTGCATTGAAAAGAAAGCATGAAGAGGGAAAAGCCATTGGAATTCCATCAGACGCATTGCTCTTAACAGCACTGTCAAAAGTCAATGAACAGCCCAGCTGGTGTGGCTCAGTGGTTAAGCATCGACCTATGAACCAGAAGGTTGTGGTTTGATTCCGGGTCAGGGCACACGCCTGGGTTGCAGGCTTGATCCCCAGTGTGGGGTGTGCAGGAGGCAGCTGATTAATGACAATCTCTCATCATTGATGTTTCTCTCCCTCTCCCTCTCTGAAGTCAATAAAAATACATATTAAAAAAAAAGTAAATGAACAGTGGTGCTTATTTAGTTCTTTAATAATAGTCTGTTGTGGAGGATGGCAGAGGCCCCTGTTGAGGAAGATGTGTCATTCCATTCGTGGTAGGTCAACTGTGACATACCCACCGTGGGAGGCTGCGCTCACACACACAGCAGCATGCCATTTGCAATAGTGACACAGCACTGGTGATACTGGGATGCGTATGCATCTATATTGTCCATCGGCTGTGACATACCCACCGTGGGAGGCTGCGCTCACACAGCAGCATGCCATTTGCAATAGTGACATAGCACCGGTGATACTGGGATGCGTATGCATCTATATTGTCCATCCTACCTATTGTGAATGAGCTGTTGCAAAAAAAACCACTGTGGTATCTAAAGAAAAGTACATGGGGCCCGGCCGGTGTGGCTCAGTGGTTGAGCATCAACCGATGGACCAGGAGGTCCCGATTCGATTCCGGGTCAGGGCACATGCCCGGGTTGCAGGCTCCATCCCCAATGTGGGGCGTGCAGGAGGCAGCCGATCCATGATCCTCTCTCATCATGGATGTTTCTCTCTCCTCCCTTCCTCTCTGAAATAAAAATAAATAATAAAAAAAATAAATAAAAGACCATGAAAAAGCCCAAGGTTACTAGGGTCTGAAACCCAGGGCTGGGCGGGGGGCTCCCCAGACTACACGACCCCACCTCCTTTATGAAGATTTCCACGGGTTTAGTTCTCTTTTCATCAAGGCGCGGGCTCAGCGCAGAGCAGCGCAGCTCAAGCACGTGCTGCGGACAGGAAGCCGCTGTCCTTCCGGTGCACTGTCTTTCCTTCCGGTGCACGCGGGCCGCCACCTG